TGTAGTCAATGAATCTTCTATCAACTCTTACTAGGTTGGTGAAATTTCAACAATCATCGACATTCATGCATTTGAACTTCCTAGAAAGAGTGGAGCTTGTCTGGGTTATCTGGACAGCTACTCTATATAGATTGTTTAGTATTGAAAGTTGAGTTTTCTCATTGTATGCTCAAAACTTCTTCAACATTTATATTTGAACTTATGGCATCATTTAATTGTGCTTCTGCTGAATTCTGGATAAGAAGGTTTTCGTGAGTGATTTAATATCCTTGTAGTCTAAGCTATTATTGTTCATGATGTTATAGTTTTACTTGAGCCATTCACTTGGCCCATTATTTACTCAAACAAATTTCATTAACTTACATCTTTGTTGTACTGAATGGTTTCATTTTGATGTTTTTTATATCCACTTGTTCACTCCTGCAAGTTTTAATGTATGGCTACTTCCCTTGGGCTGATTCTTGGTCTTTTTCTCACTAATGTTTTTAACTTTGTCTCTTTTATCGTCTTTATGACTGAAATTTATGATGTAATTGTGTTGCTAATCTTATGAGAAGATTTAAATAAAATAATATTGAGTTACTCTAAAGCCGCTTCTGAATATTGTGCTATTACATCCTTTAATGCTCTCAACCTGTAAAGTAAGATATGCGTCAGTACAAAGTGGATAGTTATTGACTAGTTCGCAAAGTAAATTACAATTATTTTTGCTCTTCCGAACCACAGAAGACTCGACAGTCTGATGTCAGCTTTCATTATTTCTGTGATTAACAAAAAAATTTGTGAATTCTTGCAGATTCAAGACGAGGGGCGTACCAGAGTGAGAAGTTCCTTGACACCGTTAACTGCCCAATCAGCACTACGGAGAATTATACCCTTTCCTTGCAAAAAGCAGTACACTGTCGTGATTCTAATGCCTCAATCATCCCGTTTCAAGAGACTTGAATTATTCATCAACTCCAGAGAAGCTAAGGTCAGTGGTGATGTATGTTATCTGTTTGCTTCACGTAATTGTATTTACCTCATTTTTAGACATGTGATGGATAATTCTAATTTATTCCCATATGCAATACTTATATACCAGACACTTTCAAATTTTACAACTTTCATTACGATTCACTTTCCCGCAGATTATGGTTGGTGTTGCTGGCTTTGCAGTTATGGTACTTAGTCTGTGGAGATACAGTAAACAAAGATAAAAAAAATCCTAGTGAAATAGTTGCTCTCTTATACCTGGACTAAGATTACATAATTTGCAAAGGACGATTTTTGATCGGATTTTGTGTTTTATTGCGAGAGGTAAAATTGTTACCATGTTTCTGAGAAAACGTGCAAACATTCTTATATCCATTCTTCGGTTGCCGACAAGGTATATGCTTTCTCTACAGCAACTCCAGAATTCGGGTTATGTATATTTTATTGATGTACTTGAAGTACATGGAAAACGTAGAAGAATTGTTACTTTGTTATAATTTTCATAAATGATGAGTTTCAAAGTAAATTAGAATGAGTGATACATGGACAATTTATGGGCAAAGCCCAAGCACTGCACTATACTCGCTCAGTTGCACAATGGACATTCATTCACATGCCACAACTCGCTCTAATAGGAAAGCATTATTGGATGATGATCAATGGGTAGTAAATTTCTGCATAACATGTATGTTGGTAGTTTGGTATATGATTTTTTGAATCCCAACAATGTGATTTTATTATGTTTTTAGAACTATAGAAACTTCCTTATTCTTGTATTCATGTACAAATTACACTAAATAAAAAAGATATTTGTGGATGAATGCAAACATCAAAGACTTGTTCAAATGGGGCCTGGTTGTGTGGCTTCTGTTAGGCACATTTTACTTGGCCAAACAAAAAGGAAAAAGGCAAATGTATTCCATGCGGGAAATGCTACAAGTACATAATAAATTTACATAGAGGTGTACATAACACTCACCTGAAGTGGGGTCCACTTGATTTTTTATTTTTGGTGGGTCCCGCACAATGTGAGTATTATGTACACCCTTATGTACAATATTATGTACTTATAACATTACTCTTCCATGTGTAAGTATGTAGCATAACAGCCACCACATCAGATTTTGTTGGGTGCAGCCTTTAAGTTGTACCTAAGTTGCATATGGCAAAAGCTATGTATATGATATATATCATGTGATCTTAAATTTGGGTCATGCTACAGTAATATAATAACAGGTGAGCATAAATTTGGGTCATTCTACAGTAACATAATGCTCGACATAAAAAATCAAAATTAATAGCAACAAATCTTACCCTTACACATCAATTATGCCAACAAATTATGTCAGCATAGTATCATTTAAAGGATCTATAAAGAGCGACGATTGAGATTCATTATGCCTTTCATACATTTCATCATTTCCTGGTATTTGCAAATCCAATCCATCTCGAGTTTCAAATAGCAGATCATCACATAGATTAATGAGGAAATAAAATAATTCCGAAATTTTTCATGCAAAATAACAAGAAAAATACACGCGGACACAGGCCCCAGGGCACATGTACTTTTCAAGAGAACACTCGCCCTATCTAGTAAGTGTAAAAGCTTCCTTCACCTTACGAGGTAGTTGTAATTCTAATATCTGGTACCAAGGTATAACAAGTAAAAAGAACTCAGAGATCTGCTCTCCCAGGGTATCTGGGGAAAGGAATGACGTCCCTAATGTTATCGATACCCGTTGCAAAGAGGATCATACGCTCAAACCCAAGGCCAAAACCACTGTGTTTCACTGTTCCATAACTTCGGAGGTCAAGATACCACTGATATGGCTCAATAGGAAGCCCCATCTCCAATATCCTAAAGCAATTAACACATTTTCACCAGCCCTTCGTTAGATAATATATACCAGACTTGCGGGGGTCTTTTTTTAACAGGGAACAAAGTAGTAAACAGAGAAAAAGGTCATGGAACTTGTCTACCTTTGCTTCAGAACCTCATAATTCTCCTCTCTTTGGCTCCCACCTATAAGTTCTCCCACCTAAAAAAGAACACAGTTAAATCATAGAATTATCCAAACTTAACGCTCCATGTGAGGGAGAGAGATAGAGAGAGAGAGAGAGAGAGACTACCTTAGGTACAAGCACATCCATAGCAGCAACAGTTTTGTTATCTTCATTGACTTTCATATAGAAGGCTTTAATTGCTTTTGGATAGTTATAGACAATAACAGGTGCCTTGAATCTCTCTTCAGTCAAGTATCTGCATCATTAATTTTACGTAACTCCAGTCAAGAATAGAAATGGTAAGGTTGAAAATCAAACAGAAAAAACTGATATCGAACGAGTTACCTTTCATGTTCAGAAGCCAAATCAATCCCCCATTCCACTTTGTTTTCAAATTTCCTGACCTTAGCTGCTTCCTCAAGAATGGCAACTGCCTCGGTGTAAGTTATTCTGTGGAACTTGGATTTTGCAACCATTTCAAGTCTTTGGAGGGCAGTTTTGTCAATGAATTTGGTCATGAACTCCATATCATCATAGCAATGGTCAAGTAACCACTGACAGAGGAATCTCACGAATGCCTCAGCACAATTCATATCGTCCTACAGAAGTTTTGCCCCATAAACTTGAAAAAATCATACAGAGAAAATAAAGGCAACAATAAACAGAAGCATAAAGCTTCTCATATTTGCATAGTACAATCTGGGTTCAAATGAAACCATAAGACATATCACAAAGAGTTCACAGTAAGCACACCTGTATATCAGCAAAAGCTAATTCAGGCTCAACCATCCAAAATTCAGCAAGATGTCTCGAAGTGTGGGAATTTTCTGCTCGAAATGTTGGCCCAAAGGTATACACACTACTGAGAGCACACGCATATGTTTCAACCTGCAACTGCCCTGATACAGTCAGAAATGCTTGCCTAGCGAAAAAGTCTTCTGCATAATCAATTTTCCCATCTTTCTTGGGAAGACCACCACCGCATTCAAATCTCTCAGCCAGCTTACGCCTCCCATCTAGCATCGCGAGGTTCTCTTTGGCCTTAGTAAGTTCAGAAACAGCAGCAACAATCTCTTGTTTGCTTGCCTTAGCAGATTTTAGCTGGGCTACTCTTTCTCCTTTCTCCTTGACAACAAGCTCTGCAGCCTCTATGTCATTTTCAGAGGGAGGAGGATTCTCTTTGAGATCCTTCTCTAACTTCTCTGCTTCATTAATTATGGTTGTGACTTGAAACATCTCACCAGCACCCTCACAATCACTTGTTGTAATAATTGGAGTATGGACATAAAGGAAACCATGCTTTTGGAAGAACGTGTGAGTTGCATATGCCAAAGCATTACGGATTCTAGCAACTGCAGAAATCTATATCAACAAAAGAAAAATTTGAACTATGAGTGCATTTAGAGGAAGATAGCAATTTTCAGCAATAAGTAAAAACAGTGGAGCTGAGTTTACGATGGTCTAGTCTATGAAAATATGGTGCTACTTCTAGACCAACTTTGTACATAAACAACAAAATTATTCAAGACAATAAATGGTAAAAACTGAATGTATCATGTACAGCAGAAGTACCCGATGGTAAAGGCAATATAGCCATACATCTAGATATTTGAACTATCTTATATGTTCACCAAGTCCAAGGATCGTGTGGGCACCATACCTATTTATTTTACTTACTAGAACTGTGAGATTGTTAGACAATCTCACAGTTGGTGCATACCTATTTATATGTTCAACCTAGCTTGGTGCAAAATATAACAGCCCATTAAAAGGAAATTTGAAGAAACAAACGTTCACGACAGAAACCAAAATCCAGATCTCTGTTCCTAAGCATATGTAATCATATTTTGGTAAAAATAAAAGATAGGAAAGTCAGGCATTTGCACAACGCTTTTCAATTCTAAGAATCTGCAAAAAAGAATTAACCACATGCAACTAAAAATAAGATTTGTTTTCATCTCACTGTGTGAGTGTGAGCACAGGAAAAAAATAAGTTATATTTAACAGTAATCCTCGCCACATGAAAAAACCTAAATAGTTATACAGTCGAAATGGGAACGAGTATCCAGTTAAGGCAATGGAAAAAACTAAGAGTCAACTTCATTCGTTTCACCCTATTACCGTATCCACGCGTAAATCAAATGCATTATCACACACACACACACACACACACACACACACACACACACACACACACACACACACACACACACACAAACACATCCGCACAGAAAAGGGAGCAAGAGAAAAAGTCCTCACAGTGTTGGTTCTGGGGCGAAGGTGCACGACATCCCTGAGAAACTCGAGCGTCAATTTCGTCTTGGGCAACGGGTACTTGGCCGCATCCACAGTACCGACATCAATGACCCTCTCCACCTCGAGCTCGATCCTCTGCTTGACCCCCTCCGGAGGCGATTTAAGCAGGCCCTCGACGTGCACGCAGGTTCCAGTGGCAACAACGTCGCTCAGCCTGTAGACTTCGGATTTGACAATCACCTGCAGGTTCCCCGGGCACGACCCGTCGTTGACCTCGAGAAATGCGAACCTGCCCTTGTCCGCCTCGCGCCCTGTCTTCACCCAACCGCCGATCCGGACCTTCTGACCGGCCAACCCGGCGCCCTTGTCGGGTCTGCTCAAAATGGATTGGATTGGGACACGCTGGGAGAACTCCGATTCCTTAACGGGGTCGCTCAGGGTGAGCCCATCCAGCGCCGGTGGGGTGGAGTCCGACGACATTTTGTTCCGCCTCTGGGTTGAGGCGTCGTTGGACGATGGAATTATTGAGACTAAACCCTAAAATGATTTTTGGAGAAATGAAAATTCTCTAATTATTAGCAAAAAATATGGACGTCTAGCTTCTTTTTCCACCAATAGGATGTTGACATGTGGAAGGGCAGTAGGATGTTGACATGTGGAAGGGTAGCTTAGGGTATTCACATGTACGTTCGTCTAGTCTTGTCTATGTAACGTGTAAATAAACTCAAGTCTTTTATGATATAGATAAAATTATGTAAAATTAACAAAATTCATTCTAATGCAAAGGGACTAAGTCTCTATTTGGGTCTAAAATAGACTTAAGGGTGGCACAAGATGAATTAGAGGCTGAGTTGGAAGAATTGGAAGGTGTTGAGTTGGAAGAGAAGTTTCTTCAGCTTGCAAGCACAGCCTCTGCCGAGGTGTCAGCTGGCTGAGTTCTCAATTGACCTCATAAGCAACGGACACGGGATGAGGACGAACTTGATGCCCTCCGAGCAGAAATGTCACTTATGCTTTCTTTTTCATAATTGGCAGCTTAGTCCACCTTAAATGTATAGGGATGAATGATGAATGAAATGTGAAATATCTTTTTATCTAGTGTATGTGTATCTTCTCTGCGTTGTAGAATCTGAGTACTTTGGCTCAACTGGTCTAAATATAGTGATATATTGTTGTTAAAGTTTAGCGGCATGATTTAGGGAATTTTGTTAAAAGTGCCACTCTCACTCTTTGTATAAAAAAATGTTACTTGCAGTTGTTATAACAACTGTTTCCGGTGTATCTAATAGAGAAAACTAGCATGTTTTTTTTATCCAATAGAGAAATCATGTCTATATATGATAAAAGTAGTCTAAAGTATAAATATTAACCCATATTTAAATTATGCCTTGTAATTTAATAAATGTAGTCCAACACCTAAATGTTATCTTGTATTTAAATTTAATCACATTCGGCTTTAAAATACGTTTTACCCGTTTTAATATCTTATGAATTAATGAATTATTTGTAATCACACATCATTAAACGAGTTTTTCTAATAAACGAACAAAAATGGGCCGAAGCTCGGAAAATGGCTAGAGCACTTTTAATAAAGCCCAATGAGTCACGTGGTCAGAAGTCCAGCCCACTCAATAAAAATCATATAAAATTCGAAGAAGCAGCCCTAACCCTAGTAAGCACTCTTTCATCCGAAGCATTTCCCCTCCACCGGCCGCCGCAGAAGAAGCTCAAGCAGCTCGCGCAGTGAAGCCGATCAAAAATGGGTAATTTCATCTATGAATTTGTTCTTTTAATCGTCCATTAAACGGCCGGCCGTCGGCTATTGAGTCTTAATGGAGAACAAATTTGTTTTGCAGGTAAGGTACACGGATCCTTGGCTCGTGCTGGTAAGGTCAGAGGCCAGACGCCGAAGGTCAACAAGCAAGACAAGAAGAAGAAGCCGCGCGGCCGTGCGCACAAGCGTATGCAGTACAATCGTCGTTTTGTCACCGCCGGTAACTCTCAATTCCCTCCACATTTTCTTCTTTTTCGTTTTGCTAAATTACGTCTTAATTACTGTTTTCAGAGTATATTGGGGTTTCTGATTCATAGATTATGTTTTAGTAACTATTGGATTAATCATAAAATGCAGATATATATATTTTTTTTTCTTCTTGATTCTTCATGTGGCTGCTTTCCATATATAGACCTTGTATATTGTTAGCATTTTTCTGTGAAATCTAATTAACTGGGAAATATTGTTTCGTTGGATGAGAAAATATCTTTACTTTGGTTTTTCTTGTGACTTGATATTGAGATAATTAGTATATATTTTGGTAGAATATAATGAATAATATGTTTATTCCTGCATTTGTAATTTTTCTGCAGTTGTTGGCTTCGGTAAGAAGAGAGGGCCGAACTCGTCGGAGAAGTGAAGTGGGGGCAATGGGTTGTTTGGATATGTCCTCCTTCAGTTGTTTTCTATCTTGCTGTAGTATTTTTGGCTAGTTGGATATTTCCGGGTTTTGGCTGTTTCGAAACATTGTTATTGCACTATGTTGAGTATAACTTAGTTGAATTGATTTTGTGTTATCTATTTTATCTTATGAGCCTGCCTTTTAGTTGGATCGATATTGAGCGATAACTAGTGAAGAAACACGAGTATAACGAATTACCATT